CCCCCCCCACTTTAACCCCCCCCCCCACACTTTACCCCCCCCCCCCATACTTTACCCCCCCCACACTTTACCCCCCCCCCCCACTTTAGCCCCCCCCCCCACTTTACCCCCCCCCCCCCACACTTTACCCCCCCCCACACTTTACCCCCCCCCACACTTTACCCCCCCCCCTCACTTTACCCCCCCCCCCCACTTTACCCCCCCCCCACACTTTACCCCCCCCCCCCCACTTTAACCCCCCCCCCCACACTTTACCCCCCCCCCCCACTTTACCCCCCCCCCACACTTTACCCCCCCCCCCCACTTTACCCCCCCCCCACACTTTAACCCCCCCCCCCCATACTTTACCCCCCCACACTTTACCCCCCCCCCCCACTTTAACCCCCCCCCCCCACTTTAACCCCCCCCCACACTTTACCCCCACCCCACACTTTACCCCCCCCCCACACTTACTCCCCCCCCACACTTTACCCCACCCCCCCCTTTACCCCCCCCACACTTTACCCCCCCCCCCCACACTTTACCCCACCCCCCACTTTACCCCCCCCCCCACACTTTAACCCCCCCCCCCCACTTTAACCCCCCCCCCACACTTTACCCCCCCCCCCCATACTTTACCCCCCACACTTTACCCCCCCCCCCACTTATACCCCCCCCCCCACTTTACCCCCCCCCCACACTTTACCCCCCCCCACACTTTACCCCACCCCCACACTTTACCCCCCCCCACACTTTACCCCCCCCCCACACTTTACCCCCCCCACACTTTACCCCCCCCACACTTTACCCCCCCCCACACTTTACCCCACCCCCACACTTTACCCCACCCCCACACTTACCCCATCCCCACACTTTACCCCCCCCACACGTTACCCCACCCCCACACTTTACCCCCCCCCACACTTTACCCCCCCCCACACTTTACCCCCCCCCACACTTTAACCCCCCCCCCACACTTTATTACCCCCCCCCCCACACTTTACCCCCCCCCCCCACACTTTACCCCCCCACACTTTACCCCCCCCCACACTTTACCCCCCCCCCCCACACTTTACCCCCCCCCCCCACACTTTACCCCCCCCACACTTTACCCCCCCCCACACTTCACCCCCCCCACACTTTACCCCCCCCCCCCACACTTTACCCCCCCCCACACTTTACCCCCCCCCACACTTTAACCCCCCCCCACACTTTACCCCCCCCCCCCACACTTTACCCCCCCACTTCACCCCCCCCCCCACACTTTACCCCCCCCCCACACTTTACCCCCCCACACTTTATCCCCCCCCCCCACTTTACCCCCCCCCCCCCACTTTACCCCCCCCCCACACTTTACCCCCCCTCACACTTCACCCCCCCCCCCCACACTTTAACCCCCCCACACTTTACCCCCCCACACTTCACCCCACCCCCACACTTTACCCCACCCCCACACTTTACCCCCCCCACACTTTACCCCCCCCCCACACTTTACCCCACCCCCCCCCCACACTTTACCCCCCCCCACTTCACCCCCCCCCCACACTTTACCCCCCCCCACACTTTACCCCCCACACTTTACCCCCCCCCCACTTTACCCCCCCCCCACTTTACCCCCCCCCCCACACTTTACCCCCCCCCCCACACTTTACCCCCCCCCACACTTTAACCCCCCCCCCCACACTTTACCCCCCCCACACTTTAACCCCCCCCCCACTTCAACCCCCCCCCCACACTTTAACCCCCCCCCCCCACACTTTACCCCCCACACTTTACCCCCCCCCCCACTTTACCCCCCCCACACTTTACCCCCCCCCCCCACACTTTACCCCCCCCCCACTTTACCCCCCCCCACTTAAACCCCCCCCCACACTTACCCCCCCCACACTTTACCCCCCCCCCACACTTTACCCCCCCCACACTTTACCCCCCCCACACTTAACCCCCCCCCACACTTTACCCCCCCCCCACACTTTACCTCCCCCCCACACTTTACCCCCCCCCCACACTTACCCCCCCCCCCACTTTACCCCCCCCCCCCACTTCACCCCCCCCCCCCACACTTTACCCCCCCCCCACACTTTACCCCCCCCCACCTTTACCCCCCCCCCACACTTTACCCCCCCCCCACACTTTACCCCCCCCCCACTTCACCCCCCCCCCCACACTTTACCCCCCCCCCCACACTTACCCCCCACACTTTAACCCCCCCCCCACTTTACCCCCCCCACTTTACCTACCCCCCCCCCCACACTTTACCTCCCCCCCACTTTCCCCCCCCCACACTTTACCCCCCCCCCCACACTTTACCCCCCCACACTTTACCCCCCCACACACTTTACCCCACCCCCCCCCCCCACACTTTACCCCCCCCACACTTTACCTCCCCCCCCCCCCCACTTTACCTCCCCCCCCACTTTACCTCCCCCCACACTTTACCCCCCCCCACTTTACCCCACCCCCCCCCCCCCACTTTACCCCCCCACACTTTACCCCCCCCCACACACTTTACCCCCCCCCCCCACACTTTACCCCCCCCCACACTTTACCCCCCCCCCCCACACTTTACCTCCCCCCCCACTTTACCCCCCCCCCACACTTACCCCCCCCCCACACTTTACCCCCCCCCCCACCACTTTACCCCACCCCCCCCACACTCTACCCCCCCCCCCCACTTTAACCCCCCCCACCACTTTACCCTCCCCCACACTTTAACCCCCCCCCACACTTACCCCCCCCCCACACTCTACCCCCCCCCCCCACACACTTTACCCCCCCCCCACACTTTACCCCCCCCCCCCCCACACTTTACCCCCCCCCCCACACACACACTTTAACCCCCCCCCCCACACTCTACCCCCCCCACACACTTTACCCCCCCCCACACACTTTACCCCCCCCCCCACACACTTTACCCCCCCCCCCACACACTTTACCCCCCCCCCCCCCACACACACACTTTACCCCTACCCACTTTACCCCACCAACTTGTTGTTGACTGGTCTATTGAACAAAGACGGCGGCCACCGCATCGCGAGCTGACGGATGCGCTTCTGCGGCCGTCTGGAACGCTCTTCCTGCCGATTTTAGGAATCCACCGGCGGCTATTTGCTCTTCTAAATCATCTAAGATTGACAAACTCGTTTCTTTGCAACTTATTTTCGTGCTTAGTTTGTTGTCCTTCCCCCGGCACTTCTGATTAGCACGCTTGGCAACGTACGGTGCGAAAGAAATTCAACGTACGTACATAATGTAACATTGAATGTAACATTGAATGTAACATTGAATGTAACATTGAATATAACATTGAATGTAACATTGAATGTAACATTGAATGCGATGCGAGCCTTTAACATTGCAGTTCCCTGTGGTGCCTTGGAATGAAGGTCGGTAAAATCACGTTTTTTTATTTGCACTAATGGTAACCTTATGCAGCTTAAGGTAATTTTATATTTGTTTTTTTTCATTAAATGTATTTTACACAGTTGCAGTGCATGTACGCGTGTTTTCTACTCGTTCCTTCCCAGCGGTGTAACATTTTAACACAAATACCTCGTGACAAATGAAAATCAACACCTCCCACCCTCCCTGCAATTGCGTAATTGCAAGTTATTATACCACGCTTGCGTGGATGTGCTGTTAAGTTTGTCTGGTCTGCGCCCAAGGATGTGAGTGAGTCGTGAACACGACACTCATCAACTTGGTCCGCTTGTAGAGTCAGCAAGGCCTCAACTCTCCAGACTCGTTCTCGAGAGAATCCCGACAATTTGTGTGTAATCGGATGCGGTGGGCTAAAGTAGTGAACTATTTGTCTTTTGTCAACGTGACACTTTTTTGCTGATTGGCCGTGTCGGGTGGTGGAGGGTTACGACACATTTATAAATAACGCGATCTTACCCAAAAACGTTTATTATGAATGCCTCTGTTGGTAATACAAATCGAGTGACATTTTCCCTGAATGTCGGCATTGGGGTGATTTTTTGTAATGCTTGCCAATAGCAGTTATCATGGTATGTTGTTTCTTTGTTTGTTTTCAGATGTGTAAGGAAACCCATTGCAGAACAAAGGAGGAGGAGGAGAATTTACAAACTCCACGGAAGGAGAGACGTGCCCGAGTCGGGAATCGAACCCAGGTACGTTTTTCTTGCCGCTCAAAAAAAGTTGCATTCATCGATACAACAACAAACAACAACAACAAACAACAACAACAACACCAAGTCGAGTGAACCATTCAGGCAAAAGCGTCACTTTATTCACCAGGAATTGTCACATCTGTAAAATAGACCCATCGGCGAGCGAACACGACATTCGGATTGCCTACGAGCTAAGCGACGGCGAACGACACGAAGACGCAAACACAGTCAACGGGAAAACGTCAGCCACACTCACGAAATATATTTACAACACTAGCGCACAGCTCAACGGCACATCCTGGCAAGCGTTCCGAGAGGGCTTTTAAATTGCACACAAAAAATATATAGTCAGCTTTGAACAACAACAACAACAACTAAAATCAAAAGAGCCACTCTCGTTTTTGCTCCCGATAGTTTTAAACCTTCACACCGAATGCTGCGATGGGAGTGGCGTTTCAATTGGAACACGTGTGTGTGGGGGGGGGAGCGGTGGTGCAGTGATTAGCGCACTGCGCTATGGGCCGAGGCGACTCCCCGTGTTCGATTCCCACCCACGACCAATGCCGAATATTTGAACCGCTCAGTGGGCCTCTGTTACATCGACTGAACCGTAAATTAGTTCCCGGTACGGTGTGGAAACATCAGCACCGGGGAGACAAAGGTTGACTGAGGCGTGGTGTTGGCCATCTACCACCCCTTGTGTGCTGTGTCCGTCTTCATAGGTGCTGGCTAACAGCACTTGCCCCAACAGCGCGTTAAAGGCTATACGGGGAGTCTTTGCCTTGCCGTCTGTTCATGCCAATACACTTGAGTGGGGATTTCTGAACATATTACAACCTTTGAAAAGGCAAGCTCACCAACTGAGTTTGCACATTTTTTGGGGGGGAGGGGACCAAAATTTTACACCACGGAATTTCCATTTGATTTTTGTTCGGCAATAATTTATACAGAGCCACGTGTCAAATGTAGACGGCGTATTTTTTTTTGTTCATCGATTCAACACAACTATGGAACAAACGCTGAAGATAGTGTTTCGTTTTACATTGCGTCTTTCATGCAAATTACATCTCCACAATCCCCGATGAGCCACAAGACGAGCTGCAAGGCGACAGCCACGGCAGTGAGCTGGCACCAACGCTTATCCAAGCTCTGCAGTCCTCTATATGCCAAAAGATGTCATTCAGCCAATTCATGAAACGTGCGCTACGAAGCTTTGGTGAGATGCATGCTTGGAATTACAGGGAGATAAATGGGGGGAGGGGGGGGGTTAGGGGGCGTCACGGATCGTGAGAGAACTAAACGAAGAGAGACGTCACGTTAAGGACACGCTGCAAGAATGTTCGAGGCTAACGACGATTTAGCAGCCAAAGGAGTGAACGGGCCTGCGAGGGGCGAACCCACCGTGGAGACGGAGTGATGGAATCATGTTTTCATGCACGGACTCGGGACCGATTGTTGTATCGTCGCAGCGTTTGGACGGACGGACTCACTTTGGCCGTCTTTCACGCAGTCCGTAGCCAACCACGCTAATGGGAGATGCGGGGGGGAGGCAGGCGAACTGAACGCACTGAAAGCAGAACGTGGCAGATGCGACGGCGTGGAGAGACCTTCAACCAGCAGTGGATAGGGCATGGCTGAATAATCACCACAATAACGTTACTGGGAAGAGATTGAGTGCGCAGCAGTTGTTGTTGCGTTGGTGTCTTATAAACGCGGCTCCTTAAAGTGTGAACTCTCCCTTTGGAGCGTAGCCAGACGCGTTGTTTCACCAAGTTGTTCGCGATGATGAGCGATTATAGAGAGCAACACGGTCATTTGAAATTCGCATTAGACGGTCGATTCGCGGTCACGGCTCACATCAGTGGCGAGTGATGTCTGTGTTGCCTCCGAAACGTCGTGATTTTTTTTATTTTTTTTATTTTACTTTTATTAATTTTAATTTTATTTTTTTACCTACGTGACAGAGGTGGGACAAAGTCATTGTTATGCAAGTCCAAGTCGAGTCTCAAGTCATCAAATTCATGACTCGAGTCTGACTCGAGTCCAAGTCACATGACTCGAGTCCACACCTCAGAGGTGGGACAAAGTCATTGTTATGCAAGTCCAAGTCGAGTCTCAAGTCATCAAATTCATGACTCGAGTCTGACTCGAGTCCAAGTCACATGACTCGAGTCCACACCTCTGCTACGTGACTTTACCGAAAAAAACCTAAGAATATGAGTGATGTCTGAGCCGGTCGTGGGACACCTGCCTTCACGAACCCGCGCCCACCAACGCGGCAAAGTGCGTCCTAGCAATCCGGGCTTTAAATCTTGACTTAAAGCTTTCGTGACTGCAGGAATTCATATTCTTTGGGTCTTTCGATAAAGTCACGTAGATAGTGAGAATTGTATTTTATTGTTTTATTTTTATAATTTTATTATTTCCCTTCTACGTGACTTTACCGAAAGAACCAAGAAGATGAATCCCTGCAGTCACGAAAGCTTTAAATCGAAATTTCACGTAGTAAGGTTGAAAGAAAATAACAAACAAACAAAACTACGACGAAAATTTTCTTTGAGCCTATCTACGTGACTTTACCGAAAGACCCAAAGAATATGAATCTGTGCTCTACACACTGCTTGGAGTTGGCTTCCATCCAGCAGGTGGACCGGCAAAGAGCTGTAAATCACAATAATAATTAGTAGTAGTAGCATTATTGTCGTCGTCATTATTATTATTACAAATATACGTAAACGCGTTGTTGGCTTCCGCCAGGCATCTTGTCACGTATAGTAATATCTAGTAAAATATAGTCAAATCTTGTCACGTAGTCGCGGTGGTGCACGTTGCAGGCAGGTGCGCGGGTTCGAAATGCAATGCCTCCTCCCATTTGGTTGTCTTAACCAGCCGATCGGAGGGAGCTTTTTTTTGTTATTTTGCGGAGAGGGATTCCAGGCAGGATGTGGGAGGCAGATGAAGAGAAATGGGAGAAGGGGGAAGGAGGGTGGGAGGAAGGGAGAATCATCGAGGATGCCAACGCGAGACGGGCATCGTTTCTCTCGAGGCATCGAGCGACTCCAACCTCTATCCCTCACGTCCTCCAGCTTCCACACGCAAACCTCACTCGTTCATCATCGCCGGTGGAGAAACGAATTAGGTGGAGGGGGGGGGTTGTTGTTTTTGCAAAACATATTCTCAATCAACGGTGGGTTTCCTCGACGTTCACACATTTGATTCGTGGATAGCGGGAAATCTGTACGGACGGCTGTTGACTCATTCATTTCCGGCTAAGTTTCTACGTCGAAATGTCCCAATCAGTGATCCTATGTCCTGGACCGCTGGACCGATTCTCATAAACACTGCGTCACTGGGAACGTCTGGATCTCAATACGAACTCTCGCTGCAACAGCCAGTCCTTTGAAGGAGGCTCCATGTAGTTTAGTGGATTTGCCGACCTCATGAGGAATCGCACTGGTACGCGATGCGTATCACGCTGTTAGTTGAATTTCTACAATGTATTTCTTTTTTAGGTAGTTGGTTGCCAATCTTGTCCAAAATATATCCAGATCTGGGCCTTGCTATTGGTTATTTGAATTGTGAGTTGATCATTGATATTACTGAGCTGTGTGGTGAATTTAGAATTGATGATCTGTGTGGTGAATTTAAAATTGTTGTTGGTGATCTGTGTGGTGAGTTTAGTATTGGTAATCTGTGTGGTGAGTTTAGTGTTGGTGATGTGTGTGGTGAGTTTAGTAGTGGTGTTGGTGATCTGTGTGGTGAGTTTAGTATTGGTGTTGGTGATGTGTGTGGTGAGTTTAGTATTGGTGTTGGTGATCTGTGTGGTGAGTTTAGTATTGGTGTTGGTGATGTTTGATTTGAGCGTTCAGTCGTGTTGATGAAAACACTTGGCTCTGGGTCTGGCCAGACACAGACCTGCTCCCATGCCTAGCTATAGTCATCTCATTTGACTGCATTATGGAAAAGCATGGCCCATCTCAATTGACCCTAATAAAGACGAAATGGACATTTTTCTCTGTCCGTAAACATGTCATTTGGGATCCGGTTACATAACACCACGGCGTGGTGGTAATCACTTTAAAATACTACGGAACATGTTTTGCAATGGGCAAATTGAGATATTGACCTGTAAAGTCATGCGCCTTCAAAATCAAACGCATACGGATCGTTGTTCAGCCACTGGCGGCTGAAACCAGGGATCAACCCCATGACCCTCAGCGTTTCTGGGCCTAGTGCTGTGGATCATCCGTGACACGTGACCACGTGCTGGTCGAATTCATCTACAGCAGCCCTCACTCGTGCTCGCGTGCAAGAGGAACGCGAGATGCGGGCAAAAGTGAAAAGGTGACCTCAAAACAGAGAATGACTGAGCGGCGAACTTCCATAATGTTAGGCGGGGGGGGAGAAGGATGGGGAGGGGGGCAGCATGGAGATGAATGAGAAGAACGATGGGACATCGAAGGTTGCCATGAGAAATGAATGAAAAATAAATCCGCCAGCTACTGGGACGTGGCCGCGTTGGCCGCTATGAACCCGCCACGCCGATCGCTCTCGTCGGCGCGGACGGCCTCGACCTCGTCAGTCGACCGCTTGTAGCGGATGAAGCCCCCGTAGCGCTTCTGCGCGGCGCTTCTGCGATCGCTCCGGCCGTCGTCGACTCCGCCGCCGCCCTCACTCCTCTCCCCGTCGTAGCCGGCGCTCTCCGCCTCCGCCCCCTTGGTGAACCGCTGGAATCCCCCGTAGCGCCTCTCACGCCCGTCGCCTTCCCCCGCCGCACCATCGCCCCCCGCGGGCGCCCGGCTGTACCGCTGGAAGCCGCCATACCTCTTCTGCAGGTCGCCCTTCCTGTAGCGGATGAAACCCCCGTAGCGCTTACGGAGGTCCGGCAAGTCGCCCTCGTCATCTGCCCCCCACCCGGGCGCCTTGGCGTAGCGCAGGAAGCCGCCGTACCTCTTCTGCACGCCGCCCCTGTTGTAGCGGACGAAGCCGCCGTAGCGTTTGCGAGGTCCCGCCGCGTCGTCTTCCTCCTCGTCGTCCGCGTCCTCCTCCTCCTCCTCCTGCCGCTGCTCCTCCTCCACGTCGATCGTCCCTGGGTCCACGTCCGACTCCAGCGTCCTCTGGTATCTCATGAAGCCGGCGTAGCGCTTCTGCGGGCCATCTTCGGGAGTCTCCGGGAGTCCCGGGGCGCCGCCGGCTCTTCCTCCCTGCGCGACGGCCGCCGCGTCTCCCCCCTCCGAGCTCTTCTCGAAGCGCAGGAAGCCCCCATAGCGCCGGCGTCTGGAGGAGGAGGAGGAGGCGTCGTCCTCTGCGCCACCACCGCCGCCGGCTCTTCTGCTGTAGCGCACGAAGCCCCCGTATCGCTTCCACAAGCCCGACGGTTCGGCACGCTGCTGCTGAAGATTGTGATCCTCCTGCAGCTCGCTCGCTACGCGATACAGCAAGTGATTGAGAGCGCCCGCCAGCTCTTTGTCGTCGTCGCTGACACCACCGCCATCGCCACCGCCACCACCGACGTCGCCAGCAGCAGCGTCACCGCCATCTAGATCGTCGCCGTTACTCATGTAAGCGTCGCCCTCGTAATGGCCATAGGTTCCAGCCACCGTCTCCTCCTCGTCGTTCTCGCCACCGCCGTTTCCCTCACCGCCACCTGCCAGCAGATTGCCGGATGCCCCCGCGTGGGATCCATCGAGGCTGTTCTCCGGGCCGCAGCCGATCCACTCGAGCCCCTTGGCACGAGCTCCCTCGCATTGAAGGGCGCACACCTGCACGCATCCACAACGCCATCGTCTCGTCATTGCCATGTTCATCGTCACCATCGCCACCATCATCATCATCACAATCGTTTACCGTCGTTGTAATCGCCCGCATCATCATGATCACTCGCATCGCCATGGTCCTCCGTCATCATCACCAATGTCTCCAACATGATCATCATCACATACCTGTCAACCCATACCGTTTACCCCGTATTCTTGTGCAGGGAATTTGAGTTTTTATGTCCATACGGCATACAGCCGTTTCAATACGGGTATAAACAAATGATATTTGTGTTTCTCCCTTGTGATGGGACTTTGTAGGATGAACGTTGAGATGTATAAGGGTACGGGTTGACCAATAATGTCTGAATTGGTCTGTAATCAGTTAGGGCACTGATAAGGAGTTGACAGGTAAGCCATCATCATCGTTGTGAGTGTCCATCACAGTCATTACCCCACACGAGCACTGCATCCTACTCCATCCATGCATGTATCTATCAGCAGCGGAGTTGCATTCAATTCAAATGTCGCTCCGTCGTTGATGGAGTTAAAGTGAAAGACCCTCAATGCAAGTGTTTACCCTGCTGAGGACAGAACCGGGGAACCAGAGGTTCGCAACCGGGTACCCGATACCCGTACCCTACCCGATACCCGGCTACCCATACCCGGCCGGGTACGGGTACGGGTAGCCGTTTGCGACCCTGGTACGGCCGGGTACGGGTAGGCCGTGAGTCACTGGTGAGTAACCGTTTGTCACTCATTTCGGGTAGGGTACGGGTAGGGAACGGGTGCCCGTACCTGGCCGGGTACGGGTAAAAATTTGCAACCCTGGTGCGGCCGGGTACGGGTAAGGAATCAAAACCCGTTTGCGACCTCTGCGGGAGACCCAATGCGGCAGTAATTAACGGCACTAGTTGAAGTTGCAATAGTCACACGCTTTGTGCGTTTCTTGCAATGGGCAAGGATATCCTTACAAGTATAATGGCCGACAAATGACCCCAAGTCAATATGCAGCCGAGCGGCTATTTGAAAATAAACGAAGGTCTCCGATTGGACGAAAGAGGCCTCCACGGAGATTGGTCGGGAGAGAGACTTTTTTAAGGGATTGGAGGAATAAGGGTTTGAACGAGAAAACGGGAAAAGAGAAAGTATTCGTTAGAGAGGAAGGACGGGAATTGGTTAAAGGTAAAACAAAAACAAGGACAAGTAAATATTTAAATGTGTCGTTAAACCCGCCACCACCCAACACAGCCAACTAGTAAGGGTTGTCACGTAAACAGAACGTGCCAATTCGTCACTATTACAGCACACCGGTGTGTTGGAGAGCCAAGCCACAACATTTACAATGTGAGGACGACGTTTCGCCAGTAATTACAACTAGCTTCATCAGGCGACAGCCAGATTTGTGACAACCCTTACTAGTTGGCTGTTTCGGGTGGTGGCAGGTTTTAACGACACATATTTACGCGATCTAACACAAAAAAAGAAACCTCTATTATGGATGATATTGGTCGCGAAAGCTTACGTGTTCAAAAGGACAAGAAGGTTCGAGGAAAAGGGGGCTGGTGAATAAATAAGTCATATTAAAAAAAAAAATTAAACATGCTTTCATGAAATGTACCGTACTCGGAATGACAGAACTCCACGACTCCAGGAAGTGGCCCCGAAGCTTGCCATAACGTAAGGGGACGTGGTCATTTGCAGCCAACGTCAGTTGAGCGTGGACAATTAGACCCAAGCGGAAACATAACATATAAAAAAGAATGCTTAAAAATAAAAAATAAAGTTATGATAGAATATAATATTGTCATCAGTATGAAATAAGTATACCAAGTTTGCAGTCGATACCACATTGGGAAGTGGATTAAAATTGAGTTACAAGATTTGAGGATACAACAACAACAGACAGAGTGAGTTAATAAAAAAAAGCGTGTAATAAAACGGGGAGAGCACGAGGAGTGGAGAAGCTTGGAGGAGGAAAGTACGCGCTGGAAGAACAGAGGGAAGCCTCGGGTTCCTTATTGCGGCAGCGCCCAAATCTCTTCTTACTAGTTTAACACGTAGGCTTTCGCGACCAATATTATTCATAATCAACGTTTTTGGGTGAGATCGCGTTATTTATAAATGTGTCGTAACCCTCCACCACCCAACACGGCCAATCAGCAAAAAGTGTCACGTTGACAAAAGACAAAATAGTTCACTGCTTTAGCCCACTGGTGTGTTGAAGCGTGAAACCACAACATTTACAACAACAAAAAATTGAGTACGACGTTTCGCTGGTAATTGCATCCAGCATCATCGGGCAATTCCGTCGTCCGAGTCGTTACGTAATGACGTCGAGAAATTAGACAAGTGGGAGGGGATTCCATTGTGGACCAGTGCAGGGGAAGAGACGCACAGAGGAGCAATGTGGCCCGCATGGTTGGCGGTGGTTGAATACAACGCGGTGGGTGAGACGAAACGACCAGGTCTCTGGTTTACCGAGCCCTGGTTTTCGCAAACGCACCGCTCGCTCGCTCTCGCAGAGAGATAGGGGAGCGACTCGGGCGCGCGAGGAGGCACCACGGACGCGCGGCGAGCCGGCGCCAACAACTGCCCACGCTCTGCGGTCCTCTATATGTCGAGGTGCTACCGGAACAATTCCTGAGTGGTTCACACGTGGGTAGGAAACTGGAGCTCGTGAAAAAAAAAATCTACGCGCGTGACGGGGGAAACACTTTATCCGGATTGCAAACTCAATTCTTTAGAGCTGTTTTTTGTGTGTTTAGTTTGTTATCCCCCCCTCCCCATTAGCACCGTTGTACGGTGCGTAAGAAGTTCAAAATACATGGTGTACATCTCATACCGCCAGACCAGGTGGGGGGTATATGGCACCTCGATACCCACGGTAAATGGGAGTTTCGCGAACTTGCTTGCGATCCACCGACACTCGCCTTCCACATTGCTGGATTACGAGCGCGCATATAGCCGCCGCCGCCACTGCGCGCTAGGTCACATCAGCCAAAGAAACCCGAGTTCGATCCCCTACCAGGGCTCACATCAGTGACGAGTTGCCTCTGAAGCAGTGTTAGCTCCCCCACCCACCCCTCCGCCTAAGGGCGTGGTGAAGTATGGTTAAAAACAATTCCCAAGACCCAAACGACGTGGAGAGAGAGGCCTACATCCTAAGGGCTGTGTGTTAAAAGTAGCATGCAATGATTTACTTTAATGGAAACTGCTCGAGGCATGACGGGAACGAACCGGTGTTAAGTGTGTCTATGTACTGTTGCACTATCTGCATTGTCCACAGATGTTCACTGTGCAGCTTCACTGATCCAGCAACGTGGATAATGCCTTTAACTCGGTGGCTATGAGATGTTAACGACCTCGTCTGGTATGCAGGAGGCCGTGAGTTTGATCCCGACCCTGACGCCTGCTGTGTATGTGGAGTTTGCATGTCTCTCCGCGTGACCGCGTGGATTTTTCTCCAGGTTCCTCCGTTTTTTTTCCGCTCCGCATTAAGAATCAACGTGCGGTCGGAGGATTTGGCTGCTGTCATTTTTCACATGACGATAAGCCATTTCGTTGGGCTAAACAATAGCCGGGTCGGTTCTGAAAACAAGTAAACCCGTAAAAACAAAGTTTTTCACTATAAATCCTTTATATGCGTGGCGGCTAGAGTCTTCTCGTCCTCTGGCTTGAGATGGCTGCCACTTATGGGTCAGATGATTGTCTGCCAGTATTAAGAAATTGGTAATTAAATATTTAATTAGTTTTCCCTAAACAGTGTAAAATTTTGGAAAAAAATTTCACGAACATTAATTGTCTGGCACAACGAGTCTGTGTGCAAAATGTCAGCTCGATTGGATCACGGGAAGTAGGTTAAAAAACGAGCGAAAGATTTGCACGGTCGTAAGCAAGCAAGCACGCAAGCAAGCGAACTTAATATAAAGGATTTAAAAAGAGCTGTACACCTCAGTGGGCCTTACCTGGTACAATTCAGAGAATAGTCAAACAAAAAAACAAATCTGGAAGTTCACCAGAACGATTGATTCAGGCAAGCCCCACTCCGCTCCACAGTTTGCTTGAATTGAATCAACGCTGCTGAAAGTACAGTACGCACTCTCAGAAGCAGATGGGGTCAGTGGGATGTATTGATGTGGAGAGACAGATAGATGATGATGAATTATGACTGTTTCAGTGCTGTGAAGTTATGCGCCGGTTAACCGATAAATATCGATTATCCTAGTTCGCCGAATCACGTGTGTAAGCATCTATGCCTGTGGAATCGTACGTGTGTGTTGTGTGATGTGCTCGCTTGACCCTCTGCAGACACTGGATGCCGCTAAATCCACCCGAATGGAAAAATAACAAGACAATACATTTCCTAAATAACAACTTCCTTAAATGGAAATATGTATATACAGTATCGGCAATTATTTTATATGCTCTTCCTTGTTTTATATGTTACTTTCAGGGCGGTGTTTTTTTGTTTTGTTAAAAAATGTGATGGATTATTGTGTTTTGCTATGAAGGCCACTGTGTTATTGACTTATGTGTCGAGTTTTTTGTTATTTTATTTCATCAACCAACTGCAGCCATTTGTCTCACGATGTTTAATAAAATAATCGATTTTTTTAAACCGGTTTGTGATACCGACGAATCGCGAAAGGGCGAATCGTCGTGTGCATTAAAGGTTAGAAGAAGAAGGGGAAATAAGTATAACCCGTAAAAACAAAGTTTTTCACTCTAAATCCTTTATATGCGTGGCGGCTAGAGTCCTCTCGTCCTCTGGCTTGAGATGGCTGCCACCTATGGGTCAGATGATTGTCTGCAGTATTAAACAATTGGTAATTAAATATTTAATTTGTTTTCCCTAAACAGTGTAAAATTTTGGGAAAAACATTAATTGTCACGCACAACGAGTCTGTGTGCAAAATGTCAGCTCGATTGGATCACGGGAAGTGGTATAAAAAACGACCGAAAGGTTTGCACGGTCGTAAGCAAGCAAGCAAGCACGCAAGCAA